GAGCTTTGCGAGGATGGCCTCTTCAGATATTCCTGTAATCCCCACTTCTTTGCCTGGGGTGATCAAAACCTTCAGCAGTTAACCAGATGTCTGTTTTGAGATTTGATACAGTCTCTTCACTTGGTTTCTTAGCGCTTTGATTTGGTTTGCTTCCTTGGAGTAGCTTTGTGCAGACTCTGTCTTGAGCTCACATAAAATCTGTTCTCCCTTCTGTTACACGGCCTCACTTCTGTCTTGAACACTACGATGAAAACTTCTGCCTGGTGTTCTCTGTCTATAAGCTGTTGACCCTAGATCAAAATCCCTGGAAAAATCTTGAATGTCTTCTGCAGAAAAGAATCTATCAGAACAGTTGTGTTTCTGTCTTATTTGAGCTAGTGTATTTCTCATTAAACTATGCATTTAGGTATAATAATTTTCATATAATAAAAAACTATCCTATGAAGTAGTCACCAAATAGCCCTTTCAGACCTTCTTTCTTCATGAGCTGTGATTACTTTGGTGATAATGTAAAGTGCAGAAGTAGGGGTAAGAGCAATGTTCCTTTTTTTTTTTTTTTTTTAAGTCTCAATTAGGAAGTCACAGTTTTGACTTTTTTCAGTTATTCAGTCTTATAGTGGCAGAAAGAATTTTGTTTAATCTGTTATTGTTCAAAGTTTTTTTTTAAGTCTTTGTCAGAATTCAGAATACAGTCAGAATTCTATACCAGAAATGAGTTTTAATAAGTTGGTTAATGTTGCTAAATGTTACTGTGCAAAAATTTGAATGATTGATTGTACCTTGCTCTTAAATATGAAAAAAATAGGTAAGATGTCCCTGAAAATAGCAGGGAGGGTCAGACTAAAATGTTTTAGTGTGTTTACCATTCTTGTTTGCCTCCCTCTGTGCATAATGCTTAAATAGTTATTTTTAATGTTTTTTTTGGACCAATGATCACGAGGAAAATAATTCAATTTGAAACAAGGGAACTGAGCAAGTAAATGTTATCCAGTTTTTGCCTAGAGCTTTATCTTTTGTTACTTATGTTTTCAATCACATATGCTTTATGTTGCGCAGTTTTCCAACCCATCTTACTCTACAGATGTTTTAAAAGGTCATAAAATGATTTTTTAATGTAAAGGTACATTGAGGGAGAGAGCATCATGGAAATATTTGACATCTTTTCAGATTTGTGTAGGAATAGGCATTTAAATAAGACTGATTAAAGTAACCATCTCCTTTTAATTGTCCTGTTTTGTTGTTGTTGTTACTGTTTTTTCAACAAACATTAAACAGAACAGTTAAACAATGCGTTATTTTCTTGCATAAGCAGTAAGAAATCACAGAATCACAGAAATGTGTTTTTGCCCAGGGAAAAGCTGGACTAGAGTTCACATCACAGTCCCTTTAGTATAGGTAATTAATTGCCCTTCTGGGAGTGCCTGACAGTTGGCAAGAAGATCTATGTGGCAAACCCTACTCATTCAAGCAAATCAGCTGTGTTTGCTGAAGTGATTTCAGAACATGTCTCGAGTTGCCCCAAGCACACTGAGAAGTGTTCACCTGAGCCATGTGGCCATAAATGGTCTCTTCCAGGCGCCATTTCCAGCTGGCAGCAATATAGGCAACCAAGAACAGGAACATTTCATCCCCACCAGCTCCTGGGAGACACTTATGCACCCTTGCTTCTGGAGCACTAGGAAGGTAGTTTGGGGACTGAGTTTTCTTCTGTCTCTCCTGCTGAGTGTGTAAATGAGCATTTACAGAATCACAGAATCAGACCATTTGGAAAGGATTTCTGAAGATCATCTAGTCCAACCTCTCTGCTAAAGTTGATTGTGTACAGATTGGAAGCAGACTGGAAAACAGGCAGGTTTTGAGTATCTGCAGAGAGCACGGCTCCACAACTGCTTTCTGGGCAGTTGTTCCAGTGTTCTGCAATCCTCAAAATGAAGGAATTTTTCCTCATGCTCAGTTAGAACTTACTGTGTTTCAGTTTGTGCTCATTGCTCCTTGTTCTGTCACTGGGCATCACCAAAAACAACCGGGCCCCATTCCTCCCACTTTCCTCCCACTCTTTAAATTTCTGAGTGTTGAGAAGATACCTCCTTAGTCTACTCTTTGTCAGGCTGAACAGTCCCAGGTCTCTCAGTCTTTCTTCGAAGGTAGATGCTCAAAGCCCTTCATCATATTTGTAGGCCTTTTCTGGACTCTTTCTAGAAGGTCCCTATCTTTCTTGATCCAAGGAGCTCAGAATTGAGCACAGAACTCCGAATGTGGCCTCTCCAGGGCAAAGTAGGGGGAAAAGACCACTTCCATCAGGAAAAATGCTTGAAAATGTTCAACAGGTTCAATTTTGGAAGTGGTGGATGAGTTTGGCAGTTGTAGCAAAAGTTTAATATGAACTAGAGCTCAACATAAAGCATTATCCCCTGTATTCAGCACTGGTGAGGCCGCACCTCGAGTACTGTGTCCAGTTTTGGGCCCCTCACTGCAAGAAAGATATTGAGGCCATGGAACGTGTTCAAAGGAGGGCAACAAAGCTGGTGAGGGGTCTGGAACACAGGCCATATGAGGAGAGGCTGAAGGAGCTGGGAATGTTCAGCCTGGAGAAGAGGAGGCTCAGGGGAGACCTCATTGCTCTCTATAACTTCCTGAAGGGAGGTTGTAGTGAGCTGGGGGTCGGCCTCTTCTCTCGTGTCATTAGTGATAGGACCAGGGGGAATGGCTTCAAGCTATGGCAGGGAAGATTCAGGCTGGACATGAGGAAGTATTACTTTTCAGAAAGGGTGGTCAGGCACTGGAATGGCTGCCCAGGGAGGTGGTGGAGTCACCGACCCTGGGGGTGTTCAAGGAAAGGCTGGATGCTGTGTTGAGGGACATGGTTTAGTGGGAGCTATTGGGAATAGGTGAACGGTTGGACTGGATGATCTTTTAGGTCTTTTCCAACCTTGGTGATTCTATGATTCTATGATTCTATGATTAGTGGCAGGATTTATGCTGAGCCAAGGGCAGAAATGTAGGAATGTGTAAAAGTGTGGCAGGTCTACTAAATGGTGAATGGTTCTTGATTGGGTAAGACCCTTAGCACCAAACATGACTTCAAAATGTGTCCAGATTTGAATGAGGGCCTGAACTAAATAAACAACCCTTCCAGCCTACCTTGCTCTGTGACTTTGTCATTCTTGATGTGTTTACACAGAATAGTGTAAAACAGCATGTTAGGTCAGACACTCTTTACATATAGGTTTATCCCAGTGAGTGTGTTGCATTCTGATCGTTTGTGTAAGTGTTATAGTGAGCACTGTAACAGTTGCAATTGGTAGTAGTCAGAAAAAAAATCTAAATATTATAATTGTATGTAATTTTAGCAAACTGAGAAAATGATCTAAGACTACAGTCATAATGCTCAGCTGCATATAAACCTGAATAAACTGTTGTTACTGTTTGAGTGTTGTTACTATATGAGTGCAGATATTTCTTTTGGGACCATTCTAGTAAATGAGATAATTCTTAGTGTATTCATGTTGGGGGTGTTGTCAGGCTATCTTCTCTTCCCTAATTTCCCTTATCCCTCCTAAGAATTGCTGTAATTTTTGTGTCTCAACATCTATAAACCTGATGTGCAAAAATGCCAAATTACAGCTTTACAGAAGGAGAACCTAGACTAGCCATGACTGTTAACAGGGAAGGTTCGTGCCCTGTGACTCAGAAAGGAAAAGCTGAGAGGGATTTTGTTTTAATTTTCTTCTATTTCAATCTTGGCTTTCTCTCTACTTCTCCCTGCACCCTGTAATCTCAATTTAAGCCTAGAAACAATTCAGAATCTAAAATTACTGGCATGACAGCGGCTTCACTGGCATTCACTGGTGATATCCATTCCTGAAAAATCAAAGCAAGAAAATTGTCCCATAGCATACCTGCACGCTGTCTGGGATCTGCCTTTCTTAGGAAGTTAAATTGAGACAAGTTTACCTTGCCAAATTGGGTAGCATGGAAACATCCTTTCATCTAAGAAGTTTTTGAGGCAGATTTATTCTGTAGTTAGATGATGCAACTCTATTTAAGAATAAGTACTAAAATTGACAGGTGTATATATTCTGAAAAAAAAAAAAAAGTGATTAATTTATTAATTACACATATTTTTGACAATTTGTTATTTAACAGCAGGGTTTTGGTGCAGATACCAATGCAGACATGCAGTGTGAGAGTTCTCTGTCCATAATTTGAGAGGTCTGTGAACAAAGACTTTTTGTTTAGGCTGTTTTATTTCTTTGGTGCATTTTTTTTTGTCAGTTTCTATGAGTGGCAGGATATTTACATCTCTTCAATCAAGGAAGTAAGATGGAAAGGTTATATACCATTGTGAGGTGTCTTACCAAAGGGAGATAGAAAATGCTGCCTGCTAATAAGGAGGAACCAAACCAAAAAGTGCCATTAGCTGTTGGCTTTGTGACTTGTGGCTGTGGCTTTGTGATCTGAACCAAGAGGACGTTAAGAAGTTGGCAGCTGTGCATTGGTAGCTGAGAGTCTGCTATTACACTTGAAGCAGTGTCAGAAAATGAGGCTGTGAATTGTTAATTGGCTTGCTAGGAAGAGAGGGAACATTGTTGCTTAGTTGATTAAGATGATGAAATGTTAAAAAATGTCAGATGGAGAGGTAAGTTAAATGGACAGATCTGTGTTTACTCATCTAGCCATTACTGTTTCTGAAAGAGTAATAAAGCTTCTTCTATAAAATAATTAGTAAGTATTACTTTTAATTAATGTAAAATTAGCCTTGCACATGTTACATTTATTGTTTCCAAGTTATTGTAGGAAACATAGTAGCCATTTTCTGCAAAAATGTTTTTTGAGGAATTTTATGCAGGCTTCGTAAGAATATCTTCATTTTAATCATATAAGTCACCCAGAACTAGGAGTGATAATATTTCAAATGAAGCTATTTATGCAAAGAAGTAATGGTACCTTGAAACTGTTACAGTTAATTTTGTGTATGTTGCTACTAATTATTTCAACAGGTGACTGAGCTAGAGTGTGTGAGCAGTCAAGCCAATGCAGTCCACACACATAAAACAGAATTAAACCAGACAATACAGGAATTAGAATCTACACTGAAGAAGAAAGAAGAGGTATTTGCTAATGTTTATTTATTTATTCACTGTTACATCATTTCTAAAAATTTTGGATATTAATCTTGCAATGACTGGTAAACACTGTTATTTCATACAGATGTTAACAACTTAAAATAATCGTTCAGCTGATTTGAAAAAAATTAATATATTTTTTATTATATAATTGCAGTTGAACATAGATCATTTTTTTCCTTTGTGGTATCTCTGAGATCTTTGCAAAAATAAATCTACATTGTGGCAGAAGTGGTTTCTTTAGAGCAGTTATCCTCACACTGATGCTATGAACACTCAGTAAGAAGGAAGACAGTCATAAGCATGCTTTCTTTTTCTAGAGAGAGGGATTTGGAGCAAGAAATCGACCAATGCTCTTTTCCGACCAGTCTGTTTTTCAAGCTCTATTAATATAGCTGATTTTTATGATCCCTAAGATCAGCCTTTCAAAGCAAGTCAAATCTCCAGCCAGTAACAGGACTGATATTTCTTGTGCATCTGCCTTTATTCTAGACCCATCACCTAGAAAAAGGAAAAGATTGGAATAAGACCTGTACTGATATGGGTCCTAGAGAAAAGCTACAGAATGGTTGAGAATCAGCCCTTTTAGGGTAGGGAAGAGGTGGAAGGAGCCTCATGTGATGGTTTGTTTGCCTTGTTCAAGACCAGATTCTTTGAAGTATACAATTTTCAACTGCAAGAACCTGTAATACTCTAGGAGAAAATTTGTTTAATCTTTTGAAGCAGAAGAGGCTTGGACTTCTGTAACAAAGAAAATACTTATTACTGTTGTTTATTCACAATTGAATGGCCTCTTCAGGATTATGATTCAGGAATATTGACAGCATGGCTTATTTAACACGCAGTAGCCAGTTGCCCATTTTGGTACTTTAGCTACGGCTTATTCCAGAGAAGAAAAAGAAGTCAGCTTACCTGCACTGAAGCCAAACCACATAATGTCTTGTTAAAGGGATTGTTTGTTCTCCTTTAGGAAATCGAAAGATTGAAACAAGAAATTGACAATGCCAGAGAACTCCAGGCACAGAGGGATTCTTTGACCCAGAAGTTACAGGTGAGCTATACTGCATCATCTTCATTTAGATAGAAGGGCAAAATGGTCTTCAGGTGAGCAGATTACATCAGCAATTTATGCTGCATTGGTTGAAGCTGCCAGATCAATCTGTAAGTGGTGGGTCAGGATGCTCCTTGGGAATTTATTCCACGATTTCCACCTGCAATAAAATACTACATTTTTCCTGAGGGAACTGACCCAAATTCCTTTTAGAACACCACAGATCTCCACCCAACTCTGGAGCTGAAATGAATTTGAATTCAGACTTCAGAATTTTGATACACCTGGAAACTCAGGCATTAAATAGTTCCAAATCCAAAGCGCTAAATTTGACCATCACTGTTCCTTGTACACCTTGACCCAATTCACACTAAACACAAGCTCCATCGCGCTGTACGCAGCTAAGTGATCATTAAATAAGTATTCTTTGAAATAGATTATATGAATTGGAACTTTCTTGAATCTCATTTTTAACCTAAAGATTATACCATATAAGAACGAAAGTACTTTATTCATTTTCCTCCATCCTTTTTTTTTTTTTTAAAGTATGTTATTAGGATGTTACTTTGAAGATTGTTTTTAATACATCAGTTCCACTACTCTAAAAATTATTGCTGAGTTTAGACTAAGCATGGAAATTTTCATCTGAAAAGGAACTTATCTGAGAGACTTAAAAAAGAGATAATAATGAAAGTTAGAAGTTGTTCTTGTATGTAATAGTATCAGTGTGAGATCTCATGACAAGTAGTGAGTTGGAAAGCAGCTATCCTCAGTAAGCAGAATAATGAGAGACTAGTAAAAGATCAAAGATGTCTTAGAATTAAAGAATGCTGTCTTTATTAAAAATTACAAAGTTTGCAGCTTTTTTTTTGCATATGGATGTCTTCAGTTAACAAGTAGATTTATTATGTATGTGTCCATATGTCACTTTGTAGGTGATCAGTTTCTTAAGTGGTTCTATTGAAATAAGTTTAAAGCTGTCTTAAGATCTGAGATAGAAGTTGCTGTTCTTCAGGTTCAAGCTTGTTGCTGACCAGATGCAGCTCTTTTAAAAGATCTTGAATCTTTGCTTACTGAAGCACTTCCCCGGCTTTGATAGTAACAGCCTTCTCTGAATCCTTCACCCTATGTCTGTGATGTCACAGAGAAACGGTGTTTTCATCCATAGCTGCAGACTGCCTATCTCACATGTTAATGTAGTAGACCTGTTGCCTGGATGGATGTTTCTAGAGTCTGTATCTGTTCATCACACTCTTTTCTCTTCTGATTTATGTTTTCCCCACTTGTGTTCACAAATGGATTACATAACTAATTGGAATGCAGCCTGTATGAAAAGCGCTGTCCAAAAATTATTATTTCCAGTTATTTTGCATTTCTGACACACCTGTGTCAGGGAATTACTTAGAAATCAGTCATAGGCAAATTTCAGTAAGTATGCTATCGCTGTGAAAGGTAAATATCAGGGCCCTTTTTACGTAATAATTTTGTTAGCTAAGACATACAAATGAGTCATGATGAGTGTGACTCTCATGATAAGTGAGGATATCTTTATTACTGTCCTGATCCCCGAGTATAGCTGTTGTATATGGTCTGAATATTTTATTCTGGTCTTTTCTCTGACTTCCCCAAGAGATCCATACAGTGCAAACACGTACTTCTGAGTAATTTATTTATTTTCTAAGAGGAAGTAATTTACGAAAATATATTATGTCTTCTGTAAGAGCATCTGAAGACAATGTCCAGAGCCTGAATGGATCATCAGTGTCAGTTTACTGTCAGCTGGGATTAACTGCATATAACGGGAAATTACAATACAACTAAGGGAACAGACTGTGTTACATGGGTACCTCTCTGCTTCTTGCATTAATAAGGAACAGTTTTGAGGAAAACTGATTTGCAGTGGGAGGCTGCAAGTTAGCAGGACATGAATTCTCAATTCAGTATTGTTATAAAAATCACTAATACTCATCCAGGCTAAAGATGTGTCGGGATCAAAAATAACAGCTGGGAAGTAATGTTTTTCAGAAATTAATTGTAAAAGGCTTACTCAGTCAGTTCTGCATGAGCTATGGGTAGCACTGTGCCATCCCAGCAGAGCCAAGAGGACGCTGAGTTCCCTGGCTCAGCCTGGACATGGCTGCTTGGCTTCAGGGTGCTGAGCCATCACACAGCACCATATGCCACAGAGCTTGGTCTGCAGGCCGGGTGCAGGACAACCTGCAGTGGGCAGGCTGGGTGACAGTCAGCTCTTTTGTTTCTGACAGCTGTGAGGTAGCTAGTCATTAACTAGGCACACATCTGTTTTAATTCATGCTGTGCCTACAAACAGTCTTTTTCAGTTGGTTTCCTTTAATCCTTTGGCAACCATATTGATCTGTGTCAAATGGGTTAAAATAATTTTCATGCTGGCAGCAAGGGGTAATTCCTGTCAGCTGTGCCGTTCAAGACCAGTGGCCAAAATTCCGTTGCAGAATCACATAATTGTAAGGACTGTAAGGGGCCTCTGGAGATCACCTCGCGCAGTGCCCTGCTACAGCAGGTTCCCTACAGCCAGTGGCACATGTAGGTGCCCATGAGGGTTTTGAGTAGCTCCAGAGAGTTTTAAAATCTTTGTTAACTTGCCACTTTACAGAAGAGCAGTGAGCGAGGTATTCCAGTTACAAGGAGATGAGACTAGAGGTCCTGAGCTCAACAGAGTTCTCCCTGACCAGGCCTGGGGCTCTGCCTTCCACCCCTGTGGCACTTGCAGAGCTTTGAGAGCAACAGAGGAATGGCAGTGGAAGCAGTGGGAGGTGGGAAGGCAGGAAGAGAAGCTTGCTGCTGGCAGAGGCTGCTGTGGGGTGCCAGGCCTTCCTCCCTAGGACTGGTTGAAATGGGTTGGTCTGAAAGCTCAGAGCAGCTCTGTTAAAGCTTTGTGCTGCAAAGCTGCTGTAAAGAAAGGAGGTATTTTAAAAATGCTAGCGTACGTAAGTACTAATTCAGAATGCACTTTTCTGGAAATGGCTGCTCAAGGTGCATTAAGTACACTGTTCCTGAGCTGCCTGCAGAAATGGTTTCCAATAGCTAAAATTAAGAAATTCCACAGGAATATTTGAGACGTGCAGTGAATGAGAGCAGCGTGCTGTTGCAAAGCAATGTGACCATGCTCCAGCAGTGAGATATGAGAGGGCCCCGGTGTGTGCTGGGTGCAGAGCTCATCTGCACGGCTCCATACTTGTGGGAGGCTGCTCCAGGTCACAGCTTGTGCTTGTGTTTTTAAATATGCTACCGGTGATTTCACCTTGATCAGTCCGTCTAGGTTTTACTCCAATCTTAATTTTTAGTGTGAAAAAAACCCGAGGCAGAAGTTAGGTGGTATTCCTCGCAACACAAAGCAGTGATCAGGTTGAGCTTCTGTGCGAGGCCACCGCTTGGGGACTCTGCCCTGCAGCAATTCATCCAGGTTAAGTAAGGGGACCTGAAAAGCCATTTTCAGTGAGTGCCATATTTCCAAATCTTAGAGTGATAACTGAACATAACACATTGTATGCCAACAAAATTTTAATCTTCTCCAGAAGCGTCTGTCCTTTAGATGAATTACTAAAAAAAATGGAAGAAAGGTTATATTCAGTCCTAATAGAAATGTCGGTTCTGGTTTTAGTACGAGGGAAACTTTAAAGGATTGCACATTGTTCTGAAAACAAAAGTAGCTCATGAATACCAGGAGGAGGTTTGACTGCTTTCTGTTTGTAGACAATACGTTAACATGTTATGTATTTTCTCTGAAGGAAGTAGAAATTCGAAACAAAGACCTGGAAGGCCAGCTGTCTGACCTAGAGCAACGTCTGGAGAAAAGTCAGAATGAGCAAGAAGCTTTTCGCAATAACTTGAAGACACTTTTAGAAATTCTTGACGGAAAAATATTTGAACTAACAGAATTACGAGATAACTTGGCCAAGCTAATAGAATGCAGCTAAAGAAAATGGGATTTCAGTGCCAATCAGCTTAAAGATGCACTGTCTCTCTTCGTAGGACTTTGTTGGGCTCTGCATCAAAGTTGCACAAAATTAGAAATGCTCCTCTGAGAGGGTTTGTTTTAAATTTGAGTCATATTTCAATGTAAAATTCAGAACTCAGCTTGTAGCTAGCTGAAGAGAAAAAAAGAAACAACAAAAAGCTTGAATTACAAATTACCTCCTTGTACTTTATTGGCCATAGATAACTTGAATGGTATTAACACTAATTGAATGCAATCCTTTTCTAATTATCAGTGATAGAAGAATTACCAGTGTCCCAGATACATCTGTTTTTTGTGACAGACACAATATAGGCTATCTTCTCTTTTATTTATTTAATATATTTAATTGCTATGTTTTGTGCAAGAACTTACTGATGACAGCCCTGTATTTTGTTGTTAATAATTTCTCAGGATTCTTTGTGCTGTGGAAAAACAGTGCCATTACCAATTTATTCTTGCCAGGAGTGAGAGAAAGTTGCATCTTTAATTGAAACAAAGTTCCTAATTGCTTGTGTGAAGTTATTCTTTTTGGGTATTTCAGTTGGTTGGTCAGCTGGTTTTTGTTTGTTTGTTTGTTTTTTTAATCTATATATATACTGGGATATACCGTATTTCTTTATGGAGCTTACTCTGGTGTTCTACAATATTGTCCACTGTAAGGTTTACATTATCATATGAATTCCTTGTAATTACAGTGAAATACTATTTCCACTAAATCTGTATGTTGAAGCCAACCGATGATGGCAGGTGAGTCCCCGAGGAAAAAAAGGAGAAAAGGAAAAATGAGAATTTTAAATGTAAGATTTGACATGCACAGATAACGAGGAGCAGCTGGTCATTTGCTGTCTGGCCTTGCTACATATTTCAAATACCTATGTCAAATTAACTGTTAGCCTGTTCTGCAGGAGACTTTCTCAGAATGTCACATGAATTTCAAATTTTGTGAGTAATGGCTTATGGGGAGCAATATTTATTAAGACTGCATTAAGGGCAAGAGATGTTGCAAGGGACTACTTGGACACTGAAATTGTCCAGCCAAGAAAGGTGTTTGTAAAATTTTTGCTGTCACAACAAGTTGAAATGGAGACATGTTTACTCTTTTATGGGTCTTCATATCACATCCTTATTGAAACAACACCAGGCAGTATTCACAACTGCTAACAGAAAGCTTAAAAACAGGAGAAAATTGAATCTTTATCCTCAATGAGCAGGTTTTAAAGTTGTTTTGAGGAAGTTTTAACAGACTTTTGGCAACCACACATTTCTTTATATAATAGATTTACTTAAAAAAAACCAACAACAACAAAAACCAACTCCGGAAGGTAAGCCAAGTGTGACGTGTCTTGCTTCAAAGTACATTCTTGCCATAAACTAATTGCTTATGATTTTGAAGAGGGCTTTTTTAAAATGTATGAATGAGTGTCAGACTTCAGAGTTGAAAGATGCACTGTTTGCTCCCCAGGTTTGTTTGAATGTTAAACATGAAATCTAGCTGCTTATAAATTTGTACAACATAATTTTCTCCACTTAGAGACTGCTACTGAAAACTAGGAAAGATAAGTTTGTTTTTGTGTGTATTGTATGTAAATACCATACAATACACACAGGTTATTTATATTAGAAATACATGCTTTATTTCTAAAATACGTTTTTTTTCTCTTTACCAGTGATTTATCAGGTGTCCCCTGACTAGTCAGGAAAGTGGTTTAGGTCAAATGCTAAACCATCATGTATTATACTGTATGTAATGTACACAATGTTTAAGTTTTATCCATATTTTTAGGGTATTTTCTCACCTATTTTCTTTATTGATGGGGTAGAGGAGCTTGACTCAGTGTGCTACTGGTTGAAAACTTTGTGGTGAGCTACATGTTTTTCTTTCAGTGATTTTAGGCAGTGGTGTGTACATCTTCATCAGGTCCACGCGAGCAAATATCACAAGATTTCAATTTAACTGGGGATGTTTGGGCCCGATTTTCCTGTCACTTGTGCTGCTGTAAACCAGATGCGTCCCTGATGTGGTGTCAGCAGTGTTTAGCTGGCATAACATTGGAGGAAATGCAAGGAGAATCTGGCCCGTTAATTACTGCTCAGTGGACATAATAAGGATGAAGAAAGAATAAAAACATTAGAAACTTGATGATGGAATAAATGTAATATTATTTTTAATGATATTATTATTGACATTTTTAAAGATATGATGTCATTTACATGTGGGAAAATAGTGGACAGAAATACTTCCACTTAAATTTTGTGAATATGTGTGGTACATGAGTATTTCTATGTATACGTACACACACATATGTATATAAAGAACATGAAAAAATTTAGATGTGCACATTTTTAATATTTTCCTATTGAAATTAAATTTTAAATTGGAAATTGATATTTGAGAATTTCTTTTCTCATTCAGTAGATATGCTTCATTTCATTTTTTACAATTACTGAGGGCTGCACCTTTGAATTCCCAAGCAGTTGTCAAACATGAAATGGGATAAGGTAGACTTACGTGCACATATAAATAAAATCTGAACGCTATGAGTATTTTTAATGTTTATTTACAATAGGTGGGTGTTTAGAGTTTGAAACCTGAAGTTCATTCATAGGTGGTTGTGCCTACTGTAGCCTCTCCAATTCTGTTTCAAGATAATAGTTTGCTTCTTTGAAACATGACTTTTCCCAGATACAGGTATTATGAATTGTATCTATCTTTGATGAAACTGTGGGAATGTGTGTACCTGAAAACACTGTTGAGTACTACAGGTTGAAAAACAACATGATCTTGTGTAGGAGAGGCGAGCAGCCACATTGCATAGACTTTGTTAAATGGCAACTATAGTCTTGTTTAAAAAAAAAAAGAAAAAAAAAAGAGCAACAAGAATTACAGTGAGAAAAAACAAGCAACTGATAAACATCTAACAAAAACTGAAGAAAAATCAGAAATACAGCTTTTATTTTGAAATACACTTGCTGTTCTCTGGAGAATGTACTTTTACTCTTCATTTTTTTCCTTATATCTTTTCAAGTATGTGCAAGTGATAGCAGCAGCTACCTTAATCTTTCAGGTGCTACTGGATTTTGCATTAGCGTGTTATGTTGTGAAATCCTGACTCTGACATAAAAGATTTTTGTAAGTATATTCCCGTCCAGATAGTTGGTTTTTGGAGTGTCTTGTTCATAATCCATATGCCTCAATGATCCAGAAATCGCATTTTTCTATGTGCACAAAGTAAAATGTGTGAATTAATGTCTGTTACAGACTGGGGATTCCTTTTCCTGGCTAATATACCAGGAAAGAGGCAAACAAAATGAACTGATAATGCAGAAATATTGTTATAAAGTCTCTACGAAAATACATTTTCAGGTAAAATATAATAAAGGGCTAAAACAGATGTAACACAAACAAGTATCGTCTAATGCTATTGGTGGCATTCTGAGGGTAATTCCTTCACCAAAACCCTGCAGGAGTGAGCAATGCGTCAATTAAAATGAATATTTTGGGATGCGTCTTGTCAGTTGTGGAAGGTTTCTGTTTTCTGCTCTGTTTTCTACAGGTTAGGGACTAACTCCAGGCTCCCCTGCAGCGAGGGGCTGAACCTTACTTTGTTTCGTTGCCGTTCATGTTCTGTACCAAAGTGGCTGTGAGCAGTGCCCCGTGAGCACCTCATTCATGAGGAGCTTAGTTTCAAAGGCAAAAGGAGAAAATCTTTGTCGGAAATACAGCATGGGAAGGGAAATGGAAAAATGGCACGGAGCTTAATTCTCTGCGCAACCGGGTGTCAACAAAGGCGCTTGATTGATCTGGTTGATGAGAAAACCTTGGATCTTGAGGCCAAATATCAGTAGAGATTAGGTCTGGGGGTTGACAGGGGGTCAAAAAAAAGCATGAAGAATTTGCAGCCAAGCATGTGCGGTCTCAGTAGCTGAACATGCCAGCTGAAGCGCGCGGCTTTACACCCATGTTTTTTCGGGAAATGAACCTGGCTCTGCAAAGCAATGCCCAGACTGTCGTTTACATTTTCTTAACAATGCTGCATACGTGCACTACCTCTGAATGGTGCTAAGCAGAGAGCATACCACAGAATAATAGGTATTTCCTAAAACCTGTGTTTTTCTTTACACAATTAGTTTCTTGGCTTACTCCAGTTGCTCCTGACAAGTATGACGGATTTCACCTTGTGTTCAGTGTTTGAGAGCAAGCAGCAGTGCTGGCTAGCCCCTGGTGTCAGCCCGTGGTGCCGCAGCTCCTGACTCACCTCCTGGGTCTCACAGCCTCTCTTGCAGCTGTCGGTGCTGCCTTCGCAGCTCATCCTAGGACCAAAGAAACCAGAGCAGTTTGTTCCCACTTTCTCCCCCTGCCTACTCTTGCACACACTCAGATCAGCATTACATCCCATAGCCTGTGGCATTTTCAAATGCTGGCTGTTATGCTGGCAACTATGGGAAGGGGGAAGAACAGTCGAAGATGTTAGAGCTTTTTGGGGAAAAAAATGTATAGGTGTCAAAAGGATTTGCTTATGTGGCACCACCAGCTGTGAGATAGGTGAGAACATCTTGCATAGCAGAGAACAGAGGACCCGCTGAGCACATCCGTCTTGCCCCAAAACTGCTGCAGGCTCATCAAAGTCAGCGTTAGAGTTGTGCTTTGTAACAAAAGCCAAAATCCCTGCAGTCTGCAAACCCATTCCTGCCTTTCTTTTACTTCCACTAGCCCAAGGATCGGCACCAGTGTTAGTCATGGCAGTGACTGAAGGCCCTTCCTGCTTTCCTGCCATCAGCTCCATCCATCTGTGGTGTGCAACAGTTCTCTTTCTGTAGCTGTGAGCAGTTTTGGCCCCATGCATTCTTGCTCTGGGGTTTTCCCCTGCTCCCACCCTTGTCTCACTGCACTGCGGGCCCCAGCAGTGGCAGGTGCTCCTGATCCCTTGGGCTGAGAACAGCCACCTAGAGGTGTTCTTGGAGAAAGCTCGTGTTTCTGTGCATAGTAACTCAGAAGAGGAGAAGTTATTTCCCAGCTGATCACCAAGACTGTCATGAGCAGCACACACCCACCCCAGTGCTAAGGGAAGAGAAGATTCACAGTGACACAGTACATTTAAGTACAGTCTGCCTGTGTGGAGTCCCCCGTTTGAGTTACATTCAGTGTGAGATTATAGAATTTGCAAGTGAAGTTTTTCAAAGAGGGAAAAAGCCCTTAGAGTTCTTCAACTTTGAATTGTATTTTGTTAAATGGTGACTTGTATTTTCTTTAAACAAAATACAAGGAAAAGGGGAAGCGAAACTGACTTTGCAAAAGAGACATCACAGCCTCTAATCAGTAGGTGGGAATGTAAGAGATGAATTTTCTCTGTATCTGAATATACTGCTTTTTTATGAATCTGGCAGCAGTTGTTTGCCAGGATCTACAGCGATAGGAATGGGAAACACGGTGTGAATGCAGTGAGGCTCTGCCTTGCAGTGGGTGTGAGCTGCTGGGCGGCAGCGTGCAGCTGAGCAGGATGGGTCCTGCAGGCACAAGCATCCCCTGCAGCCTTGGCAGGATTCCAGGGGTGCTTGCCATCTGCCCAAGGTGGTGGTGGTCCCAGATACACATTGCTACTCCTGGAGCCCTTTTGCTCCACGTTGTTGGCATGCAGGGCGACAAATGGAGGGGAATTCTGGTGTGCAGCTCTGAGAGCAAGAGAACTATTGCTGGTTTGAGACAAGCACTTCCTCCCCAACTCTTTGAAAGAAATTACGAAGGCCGTTTTTGTGTGTGTGTGTGGTTTCCGTTATCATTGGAACCTACATGTCCTAAATTTTCTTTAATTTTTCTGTTTTTATTATATTTTGCATTTTTTGCATTAATGTTATTTCCGCAAATGCAAACTTGGAGTCATAGAGAAGGCAGATTGGTGTGCATATGGGGCAGCATTGGTTGTCCTTGGACATTGCTGAGTCCTGAGGAGCTGGAAAGTTATGGAAGTGGGGAGGAGAGCAACAATGAAACACCGGGCATGCTGTAAGAGGTGCTGTAAAAGCACGAAAAGCTCACAGGGAGCACCTGTGTGGGGACAGGCATCAGGTTGGATCCGCACTGGCACGGTGGGCAGGCAGTGATCTGTGCTGTGAATCTGTGCTGAAATCAGCACAGTTTGGTCAAATTGTAGCTATGATGCTCTAACAAGGGGGCTGTATACCCAAAACATAAACAGAATCAAAAAAGGAGCCAGGGCACCATGGGGCACGCAATCAGCTCATTAGTGAGTGCTCTGCACACAGAGACCCATCCATACCATCCCTATGTATGGGATGAAGTGGCAGTAGGCTCATCTGCCTCTGAATAGCCATAGGGTGGCCGTGGAGCTGGTCAGTCCCTCTTCTGATGTGCTGCACCAGGAGAAGGATGCACTGCTTGAGGAACTGCCCTGGTAGGAGCAGTTAGGAAATGCTGCTGCTGCTTGCCTAGCTGGCAGCTATGGTGACTGTGTTCCAAGGATCAGGCACTCATTATACTGAGTGACTTGGCAGACACAAGAAATTGCAACTGTATTTCTGCGTATTTACAGGATATTTTTTTAAGGCAACTCATTATTTGCCAGTGAGGGGTTGAGGGGATAATGGAAAGAAAAAGAACTCTGAGGGAACAGGTAGGTCCCTTCTGCACGCTGAACTCCAAAGGGTGCAGGATTGAAGTTCTGCATTCAGTTTAAACAAGCTGGTACGGGCAGTGCTCATGGCCACTTATTCAGGAGCATCCCTGAAACTTGGCAGCCTGTGAGGACATTCTGAAGGCAGTTGGTGCACCCAGTGTGGGGATGACCTGCTGGTGACAGGAACAGCACACAGGTTCACCCCAAACTGCTGATGGTGCAGCCTTGACAAATGCTGGTTGGATATCTGTGCGACATTTCTTACTGCAAATTGAGACTTGAAGGTCTGTTTTTCTGTGAATTACGACCAAGTATTGACTTGGGACCATAACTGGCTTTTAGATATAAGATAGGACTGTTTGCTAATCTGAGCAAAGCATGTCCTGGCAGGCAACCTCCAGCTGCTTTCCCCTGAACACAGCATGAGCAGACACAGTGGTCTTTTTGAAGTGACAAAATTTCATACTCTAAACAGAGATTTGCCCTATCACACATAACTAGTTTTACCTCTGGCATCACTCAGAACACACACGTGCTGAGTGGCTCCACCACTCACAAGCACAGTGGAGAAGAAGCACAGTGCTTCTCTCGGCCCCATCTGCCACCACACACCCTGGAGGAGGTGGCCAACAGCTCAGCCCAACAGCGTGAAGGCGAGCAGAGGAGTGGGATGGCAGGTGTGTGAGAGGGCTGCTGCGGGCGGGTGAGAATGGCTTGTTGGTGTGGAGATACGGG